TGAGCACTCGAGGTAGCCGAAGGCATTGATCCTGTTGGCCATGTCCCTCCCCTCCTCCGGCTTCACCGGCTCCTGGAAAGCATAAAAAAGAGGGTTCGGAAACAGGAAAACAGCAGCGAGAGCAGAGCGACGGCCCCCGGGGCGCCCAGCCCTCGGCGCCGGGTCCGCGGCACCCAGGGCTGCCCCCTCACCTGCTTCATCTTCGCCAGCTCCCGCCGCGTGTGCTCGTCGTTCCGCAGGTCCTTCTTGTTCCCCACCAGGATGATGGGCACGTTGGGGCAGAAGTGCTTCACCTCTGGCGTCCACTTCTCGGGGATGTTCTCTGCAACGAGCACGCGCGGACACCCCTGAGCCAAGGGGCTGCTCCCCCCCGGCCCCCTCACAGCCGCGGAACCGACGTTGGGCTTTTCCCGCAGGAAGGGGGAGAGCTCGCCCCGCAGCATCCTCCTCCTCTCCCACCGCCTCCAGCAAGTTCCCAGCATTTTCCCAGAGCGCCCGCAAAGCAGGAGGTGGAGGGGAGGGACCAGCATCCCCCAGAGGGGCTGCACCCCCAGTTCACCCCGCGCTGTGGGAGCCCCAGGACCCCCTCGCTCCCTACCGAGGCTGTCCGGGCTGTCGATAGAAAAGCACATGAGGATAACGTCCGTGTCCGGGTACGAGAGGGGCCGCAGCCTGTCGTAGTCCTCCTGTCCCGCCGTGTCCCACAGGGCCAGCTCCACCTGGGAGGGGAGAGGGACACGGCTCAGCAGGCCAGGGGCGGGCAGGTTCTTCTTCCTCAGTTATAACTTACGGTCTTCCTCAAACTGGGGCAGGTTCAGGGTGACCCAGAAACGTGGGAGCCGTGGGGCTCCCCCGAGCGCACCCGAGCTGCGTGGAACGACCCACGTGGCAGCTCCGGCACCCCACGGCGGCCCTTACCTGCTTCCCGTCTACCTCTATGTCGGCAATGTAGTTCTCGAACACGGTGGGCACGTAGACCTCGGGGAACTGGTCCTTGCTGAAGACGATCAGCAGACACGTCTTTCCGCAGGCACCGTCTCCCACGATCACCAGCTTCTTCCTGATGGCCGCCATCGCTGCGGGGACAAGGGCGGCTGAGCGGGACAGAGCAGCCGCGGGCAGCCCACGCTCCCGGCCCCGACGGGGCCCCCCGTGCCCCGCAGCCTGCACAGGGGGCACTGGGCACTGGCACCCCCCGGCACCAGCAGCCGGTGACCGGCAGGACGGAGGCTCAGCTCCAGCCCCGCACACAGCCCGCACGGGCACCGGCGCTGCGAGAACCAGCCCGACCGAGCCATTCGCATCCATCGCCGCCGACCACCACGCTGATGTCCCGGGCAGGGCCGGCGGCTGCGGGTGGCACCTCACGCCAGACAACAAACCGTCCTGCCCTCCCCCTGCGCTGGCAGGGAGGCTCCTGCCCCGGCCATCCAACCCCTCCACGCTGGGCCACCACCCCGGACAAGTGGCTTTTCTGACGACCTCAGAGTCACACGCACCCGCTGGTTTTATTTCGGATTATAAATTCCTCAGGGCAGAAACTGTACTCCGGGTTTCACCCAGGCACGCTCGCCAGCTCCCATGTAATCCTATCAGCAGCAGGAACGCGCTGAGCTGAGCTCTCGGAGATCGGGGCGAGCACAACCTGCGCGCCCGGCACCCAGCAGCGGGCTGGCCCCGTCCCAGCCTGTGTGACAAAGGAGCCTTTGCCACACAACGACCGAGAGCCAGCGCTGGCACCGGCGGCAAGGGAAGCTGCCAGCCACCGCTCAGCAAACAGAGCCGAAACCCCGCAGTAAAGGAGCTGCTTTCTGTCCCGGGGAAAAGGGATGCAGTCCTGGAAGTAAAACTATGCCTTTGCATCCCTGAGCTTCAAAAGGAGATTAGAGCTGAGCCTGGGAATTACCCAGGACGATGGCACAAAACTCCTGCCACGGTGCCCAAACGAGGCATGAGAAAATCAGCCGAGGCGGGATCACATCCCTCCCTGACCTCGGGCCCAAAATCTCTTTCCCATCCCCAACCTCCCACATGCCTCAGTGCAAAGAGCCCGACCCAGTCCTCACGCGCCTCTGGCACATCACCAGCTTGCTCTCCCCGCAGAAACCACGGGCAGACGCTCACTGATGGCTCAGGGTTTAATCCTGGGAAAGGTGCGCGCTGCTCTGTGAGCTGGGGGAAATTATAGTTGACCAGAAAACTGCTCAGGAAGGCGGGGACGCTCCAAGGTGCCCCTCCAAACCCCCCTGGCTGGGGCAGCGGGACTGGGAGGGGCGGTTTGGGCTTGGAGCCTTGGGGAGGTTCATGGGAAAGAACCATGTGGGAAGGACACGCACAGCTACGCCAACGCACCCAGCTGCAAGCGCTGGGAGCGGGTGGCACTGGGATGGCACTGGGATGGCACTGGGATCACCGGCCATCGCGAGCCTGGCATTTAACCAGAGCCTTGACACCTTAACAAGGACCTGGCGCTGGTCCCCTGCGGGGGGATCGCACCCACCCCCCGCGCCAACGGGAAAAGAGAAAACTGAGTCAGGCTGCATCGTAATTAGCCGCAAGTGAAGGATTAAGAAATTAGGCTCAGCGGCTGACTTGCATTTCAAAAGCAGGCTGGGGAGAGCTCCCCTCATCTGCACGCTCAGCAGGTCACCGCTGAGCTCCTGCCTGGCAGAGACCTGCCCAAGGCTCACACCAACCCTGGGGGAGTCTCGGGGACCACCCCAGCTCTGAGATCTAACTGCCCAACCGTGCGGTTGGGGCAAGAGAGAGAAAGGTTCCACCCGAATCCAGGCCAGACCCTGCCAGAGCCCCGGCGCTTTACTAGTTACGAGCCCTTTGGCTCAGAAGCCAAATGGTTCATGGTGCTGAGTGCTGTGGAGCCTTTAATAAAGATAGTAATTTGGCACTGGTAAAGTGAGGAGGATGAAGGGCCGTGCCCAGCAGGATCCAGCACTCCCCGGTCAGGGCCCTCGGCGTTAAGCACACCTCCCATTGAGCAGCACGTCTGTAAAGAGGGCGAGCACATTGATGAAACACTAAAGTTGAAGAAAAAACTCAGATTGCCCAAAGGGTCTCACTGCCGGGGGCTGAGCGCAGAGGGGAGACCCCCCGGCACGGCTCCCGGCCCCTTTCCTTGCGCCCCCCTGCCCCACGGCCGCCTGGGCCAGGAACGCCCGTGGCCCCACGCACGGGCAGCC